CAATATAAGTAGTTGCTGTCATAGCTTGCTGTAAATGCTTCAATCAATATTTGTAAAGGTATACACACATAGGGCAGGATAATAAGTAGATTGGAACACTTGTTTTCACATTGTTATTATATCTGATGTACAATTGCATTAACTGTAATTATCATATTTTCTTAGATGAACACTCTACAAGGCACACGGGGGTGAGTTGCCAGTGCCATCAACACTTGATCCTTCAGCGCTACTTTTGACCTTGATGTGCTGCCATTGGTCTGCCAGATGAACTTCTCTGCTGACAAGCGACTGGTAGATTCAGCTTTTGGAAAAGAGCAAGCTGGCAGTGTGTGGTCCTACCACCACCCTCCACCTTCAACCAAGGGTGTTTGCATACATAGTCTTTCCCAAATTGCCACTTGATGACTACCACCTACCACCAACCAAGTGTAATTTTGTGGCAACCTCTCAACAGCAGCTTCACTTGCACTCCCTGTACGTGACCTTGGCCCAGTGTTGCCAAATTAAAACTTCGACCAGAGGCCAAAGTGCAGCAGCTGAGTGGCATAGTCTCAGAAAAGAAATGGTGACCTCATCTCATTTCAGGGAAGTCTGCCATGTACGAGCATCTACATCTGCAGCGAACCTGGCTGAGAGGATCTTGAGGGGCACAAGACCTAATGCCATCATGAGACGACGGTTCGACATGGAAGCGGGAGCTTTAAAATAGTATGCAGCCATGAAGAACCTGATACATCAGAATGTGGACTGGTCATTCATCCTGATGCGCCCTGGCTCGGAGCGTCAACTTATGGGCTGGTGTATGATCCCCTGGAGAGACCAACATGTGGCTTGATCGAAATGAAATGCCCAAATGTGCAGAGCTACATTGACTGCAAGTACCTCAGAGTGCAGCATGGCCAACGTAAGATTAAGGAGAGCCATGTGTACTACTGGCATATCCAGGGATAGCTGCTTATCACTGGCATGACCTGGTGTGATTTTGTCATTAGTGCAAATGACATGTTTGTGCAGCGCAGTCACAGAGATGACAGCGTTATAGTATAAAGGAGCGATGTGATTTGTTTTTTTAATACATCTTCAAATATTTTTTCTCAAATTGAGAACCCTCCCTTCATTAAGGTAACCTTTGTTTGTCCCACAGTGGGGAAAGTTCAATGTTGGAGCACACCTACAGGACAGTAGCCCACAAAATAAGTACTTATAGTTGTTTATTAGGTAGCTGTAAATGCTACCAGTCTTTTAAAAAAAGACATGTAGTGCAGAGTTGTGTTTACTGGATATTCGTAGAATTGATATAGTGCATCTAGTTTTGTTTCTGTTCATGATAGTGTTTGACTTGTATTATTCTATTCCAAAAATCAACTTCAGACATTACCCTGGTCCTCACAGTCATGGGAATAACGATGAACAATGACTCTTGTAACACAATGGTTAGAATATATGTGACAAGACTGATTGTAAAGCCTACCATTAGCTTTGTTATACATGTAAATGTTGGTTTGAGACAACTTTTGGCATTAAAACATGTATTTAACAGTTCTTTCTCTCTGTTCCCTCGGTTACTACAACCATATACCACACAAAAATACTGCATTGTATTAATGAAAGTTAGCAAAGTAAAGACTGTGGACTGTCAGCTATCTCTGTGGGCGCAGATGCTACGCATGCTAATGCTAGCGCATTTCTCCCGTTCCTTATTAGGCATTTTCCTAAAAATCAGAACCTGTTCGTGAAATAAATTTTAGCGAAATAGAGACTCCACAAGTTCCCCACTTGATATGAGCATTTGCCACAACTGTACAAGCCACAGAAAAAGAGCATTTTGACTCGGACTCAGTGAAACATTGTTCCTAATAGGGAGATTTACTTCCTGTCCCTCGGAGCACTCTCACGCTGCTGCGTGACGTCAGGTGCAACCCAGCAATTAGACCGTTGTTTTGGTAATTTCTCGATGTGGAGGGGATCAGAAAGAATAAATCAATGAATTTTGAAATGTTTAGTAATTCTTTTCTAATATAATCTAATATAATGTTTGAAGTACTGCGGAAGATGGGAGGCGGGGCATAATAGCTTTGTGTGATTGGTCTCTTTAGTGATGGTGTTGTCTTATTGGCTGACTGATCTGATATAGAAGGGCATGTGATTACGTGTTCTTTGCAGTTTTATCGTTCGGTAACAACTGCCCCATCTGTGTTTCTGTAAGATTATTTAATTTTACAAGACGCTACATTTTGGACTCGTTGGATTGGAATAGTTGTTTTTTTCGGCTATCTGATCTGTGTGTGTCCATTTTCCGTATCTACAATAACTAAACTACTTAAAAAAAAAATTAAAAAAAATCAACAAGAACACTGCGTTTTGGCTGAAAGGTAAGGGCTGTACTGATTTTCTATTGTGAGAAAATGGTTGTTGCAGTGTGATTTACACGTTTACAGGGTACATTAAGCCATAATTTCTGTACTGAGTGATTGTTTGGGTGACATTGCCACAGGAAGGTTTTAAACCTGTGTTAGTTGCTGTGATTTAAGATGGCGCCCTATTCAAATGACTGGCTTGTGTTCGTAGCGCATGGTACATTCAGAGAGACTGCGTATAGTTGAACTCGCCCATATTTGGGCATCTGGGCGTCTGGTCCTCTTGGGTCTGTGCAGTGGACGTGTTGCAATGATGCGTTTTGCCAAATACGTGTGTCCATAGGCTTATAAAGAGGAGACTACGCTGCTTTTTGGAACTGGCACGCGTGTAACCGCCATCTTCGACAGATCAGTTGCTTCTCCCATTGTCATAGTTTTACACTGACGTCACGCACTACCCATAATTCCGCAGCTCGCCATTTTACCAGTCTAGCCGCCGCTAGTTGTAGGTAAACAATTCGGCCAACAATTAGTGATTTGCGGCCTGTGATATCAACTGCTTCGTTCAAAATAAAATAATTTATTGAAATAAATATTGCATCACATACATCAAAAGTTTTTTAATTGTAAAACTGTTAAGTGAAAGTAAGCAATTTCCACTGGTCTCGCCACTTTTCATATGAATCCAAATATCCCGATTCTCAAAGGATCTTGCCTCAAATTACTCCACTGTGTCAATATACTTAACGCGGTCAGTGTCCGACTTCATGGCTTTAGATGACATGGGGACAAATGTTCTGTGACAAATTATCCATGACAAATTATACTATCGATGTGGCGTTCGCGCTAATCATCATGGGTAATAAGCACGAGAGGGAAAACCATGTATATTTAACGTAAACGTTGGCATAAGTTACATTTGAAGGTCCAGTTTGCTTTGTTTCCGGTTACATTGACGGTGTGTGTGAGTTTGGAGTTCCTGGTCTGGTTTGGTCCCTTCAGAGTAAAATGGAAATTATATAAAATTTAGATCCACTTTTTGAACAATGTTGTAGGTAAGTGACAACAACACAGCATTGCTTAGCATTTATAACTAGTGTAGTTACATGAAATGTGTAATTTGAGCAGAAAATCTGTTAACATGTGAATTTTCAGGAACTACTCTGTGCGTTAACCTGCATACATGATATACAATCAATAACCAGGACAATCTAGTCAACTAAGAACCTTTCTACTACATGCCAATAACATTATTAGGAAACACCACTTGCAGCCTTTCAAGATTCTTTATTAGAATTAATGGAAAATCTGTGGCAGATCAATAACAAGGGCTAACATAGTTATAATGTAACTGTACTAAGCTGGTTAAAATGAAGTTTATTTTGTCCTTCAATATAGTCGTATAACTAACGTAAGAGCTAGAATAGAAATGAGAAATCACCTTACAATCATGTCTTATTCCTATCTAGCATTAATTACATTTTTAACCGTTAAATCACGTTTGCTATTTTACACATTTAAAACAAACTTGACAATTGTTACACAAATCAATCCATACCTTGTTCCCTCTATCTCAACTGGTAGATAAACTTTGTTTTTTTATGCCATATTAGTGCTGTTTCCTATGACCTTTTGTCTTTTAGACTGGCTGTTTGATTGTAACGTCCATACACTTTAGTTTGTGTAAGCCCTCAGTCGTACAGGGATTAGTCAAAGCAAATGAAGGTTTCCAAAGCCCCCACTGAAAGCTCAAGGCTATGCTCACTTACAGAGCAGCCATACTCCTGTGGACTCGCCTCCTGCAGGAGGATCAGTGAGGGGCTGGTGCTATGTGACTTGGGTGGCAGCTCTGATTGTTACCCCCCCGACCCAGACATGGATTAAGGGGTAGAAAATAGATGGATGGATGTTTGTTACAGTTGCTATACTAATTAATTCTAACATGGTATTTTATTATTAACCATACCTTTGTTTCCTGTAGTGTCTGTTAAGATCAGGACTCAGGAGATCTCTGCCCCGAGGCTGTCTGACGGCTCAATGAACACTGACCCCCTCCTCACCCCCACTGATTCCCATTATCCTCCACTTTTACATATCTGCCATAACTTAACTGGTTTTGCATGGTTGTTGTTAACATACTCTCTTAACCATGCATGGCCAGTTAAATTATGGCAGGTATGTAAAAGTGGAAGATGATGGGGGTCCGTGGGGGTGAGGAGTGAGTCAGTGGTCATTTAGCAGTCTGACAGCCTCAGGAGAGATATCTCCTGAGGCTTGATATGTATCAAACACTGCAGAAAACAATGGTATGGTTAGTAATAGAATTGTGATTCACAGTGCCAATATAACTCGCTGAATACTTCACTGATATTGACACTTTCTTTTACTGTATACGTTACACGTCTAGATATAATACAGGACACATAATTTGGTGTACATTAATATTCATAGTTGGTTAATGGTCTCTTCTGATATATGATTGTGATGTATGATAGGTATTTTGCAAAACACACACAGATTGTATACACTTAGTCCAGCTACTGTCATAGCTGTTTGGAATGTTTGAAACATTGGTTTTTGTTAACATATCATGGCTGCTTTTAGATGCCTAAGAAAGCGAATTGGCGACGCGCTGAGGCCATGGCCCGCCGCCGAGCGCAACTCTGGGGTGGAGTGGATCAGCTGCCCTCAACTGGGTTAGAAGTTCAGATTCCACGTCACAACCTGTGTCCTGAACCGGCACCGCGTACGTTTCATTTTTAATGTTATTCACTTTTCCATTTGTCTCTGCAACTTTAATTTTATAATTTGCTGTTTATAGGCCTTGGTACTGGTTCTAGACATTCTGTGAAGAAGCAGAACTGGCCCACTTCGTCTTTTGTCAACAAGCCTTGTAAGTGGGTCATTCCACCAGTGTCTCCAGACAAGAAGGTATGTACCAATAAACATGTTTTATGAATATGAAATGTTTTTACTTTCTTTGAATACACTTTTTTTCTTTTCTTAGTTTGCCTTTGTTGTTGGAAACTCCCATCTGCGTGCGCTCGTAGATGGGTTTGTGCCTATGCCAAAAGACAGCCTTTCTTTTGGTTTCTGCTCAATACCTGGTGGTTCTGCCCAGGACATGTGCAGGGAATTGTCGTCACAATTGGCTTGTGATGTCTCACCTTTGGAGCGAGAGCCAGACGTTGTGTGTGTCCTTGCTCCTTGCAATAATATGACAGCCAGCAAGACGGTTACAGACGCTGCATCAGAGTTTGGCAGACTCCTTGACGTTGTGTGCAGCCACTGGCAAAAGGTCTCAGCATGTTTCTGTTTAAAGTGATTATATTTGTATTGTTCTGTAGACATTATATTCATTCAGTAATGTTTTGCATAGGTCTGTGTTTTGGATTTTCCGCCTCGTCTGACGTTGGAGGTGGAAGTTCAACAGGCTTTTAGAGAAGAGTTTTGTCGTGTGGCAGCTCGCATGGGTAAGCAGACTATAATATATATAGGTTTCAAAGTCATATTTCTAGATGTGAATGTGCCCTAAAATGGCTTGGTATCTGTCTGTTTTCACAGGAATCGGCTACTTCCATGTGGCTGAGCACTTTCGGCTGGACAGACAAATGTTGTGGTGCTGGGATGGTGTAAGTAGTTGTTTACATAACGTGTGTAAGATAATACTTAATATTTATGATAGTAGCATAAATTCTATTACAAATTCACTCATTGATTAGTATATTGTGACACAAGTTGTATTTTAAATTAGGGCTGCAACAATGAATTGATATGAAATCTAATTGAATTGAAATCTATTATTAATAGTGTTGGCAACAAATTTCATTCTGAGTTCTGTGTACTCTTGAATTCGCTAATAGAAAACAAGAACTGAGAATTATCATGTGTGATTTGATTAACAAAAAAACCTGAACAAAATAAATAGTGGAAAAAGTGTGTCATATTTCTGGATAACATAAAGAAAAAACATTGGCCAAGTTTTGTTAAACATCAGCATCGGCCCAAAATGTCACAATCTTTGCATCTTTAATACCTCTTTTTGTGCACTTTACCTTTAAAATAGCCTATATTTGCATAGTTCACATTTGTATGTGTTTTGGTCCATGGCCACATTTTTGAATAAAGGGATGGAAATTAAATGGTTTTTTTTGTTATTGTTTAATAATAATTGTTTGCTGTAGCCCTATTTCAAATGAGCTCACCTAGCTTGAATGTTGATAAAATCTTTTTTGGTACTAATCTTTCATTTTGCTATAGGTCCATCTGAGTGACGATCATGGGATGGGCATCTACGCTGAGCTGCTCAGTCAGGCCTGCTCCCAGCAGCTTGAAAAGGAGGTTCCTTCCATTGTGGTTCCTCCCTCCCCATCTAAATCGTACACCTGGAGGTATAAGCCAAAAGTGGTTGTGGTTGGCCCTGAGCCTTCGCCACGCCCACCCCCTCCTGAATGGACAGTTGTTGGACAAGGCCGAAAGGTGAGGACTCTTAAGTGTTTTGACATAAACTCATGGATAAGTTTGTGGAATTAGGAAGCATTATCAACACACACACAATTGTATTTTTGTGTCTGACAATCACTTCTGTGTTTGAAAGACTGTTGAATGTATAAGCAGATTGAGAAGACGTTACTTCCTGGTTGTAAAACATGTAGTGATGGCAATGGGCTATATGCACGGAGGCGTGACTTCCTTTCCTGTTAACAAAGCACAGCCCGTTCACTTCCTGCCTATGCTATCCTATGGTTTTAGTGACATTTTTGAATTAGATTGATACATTCAGCTGAGACTGACCCAAAAGTGTCGCTGTGCTTTCTCTCTGAGGTAGAGCTTCGACTGTGGCCATTCAGAGAGATTAGTAAACTTTATAAAAGCACAATGACGGCACAATCAGAACATTGCTGTGTCCCAAAAAAGGCCAGTATCCTCAGTTTAATTCCCATTTGAGCATTATTTGGGAAATTCGTGTAAACCACTGCTGAACTCCAGTAAAACTCAAGCAGTTCCCTGCGCACAGGAAGTCAAGTGGGGTTGTAACTAAAACGCAGAAGTGGTTCGTGCATTGAGGCCATATGAAGCATTGAGGGTTTGCAGCCTATTACTCAGCCCATGGCTCCACTACGCCATCATGTGGGCAAAAAATGTATAACACTCTTAAGAGCTTAAGGCGCGTTCAGACCGAAAGCTTCAAAAAGCTTTTGACCCGCTTCAACTGACGCCGGGATAGTTTTGTCATTTTGGTGCTTGAAGCTTTTGACGCGAGTGACGCGCCTGACGCCGGTGGGAGGAGCTTCTCTGTTGTCTGTAGTCAGGACAGCGGTGGATTTTTCAATGAGCAGCGAGCATTTATTTGTTATATAAAGCAAAATAATGTTGTTGTAGGGCTTCAACAAAACATGTTCTGGGTTCACCACAGATTTGAGAGGCTGCAGTGTTTGCAGAGTTCCGTCATTTACTCCAGGAGCTGCGTACGGAGGAGTTTCGCTTTCAGCGGTACTTCCGCATGTCACTCGCCCAGTCTGAGTTCTCAAACCCCGGAGCTCGCCTCTCCCCGGCTCTCGCTCACCTCTCGCCCGCCTGTCCCTGCCTCTCCCCGGCTCTCGCTCACCTCTCGCCCGCCTCTCCCTGCCTCTCCCCGGCTCTCGCTCGCCTCTCCCTGACTCTCCCCGGCTCTCGCCCGCCCGGAGCTGCCTTGCTCTGAGCCAGACTCATCGTCAGCCTGTTCTTATATTAAATAAACTGTTTACTACACAGCATGTGTACAATGATTTTGTTACTCAGAACGTTACTACTCATACAAATAATATCACTAATAACAATAAGGACAATAAAACAGCAGCAGCAGATACATGACTTCTCTCCATGACACAGACCCTCTGCTGCTCCTCGTCTCCTGATTGGTTGAAGCCCGCGTCAAAGTTTCAAAAGCTCAGCTTCGGCGTGAGAGGGATTGTTTTGATACGCGAGCGTTTCGCGCGTCAAAAGCTTAAAGTGAGCGCGTATTACGCGCGACTCTTGTAGCTTTTGACGCGCGTCAAGTGACGCCGGGGCTCTCGGCTTCACCTGACGCGCTTCACCATTCACTTTCAATGCAAACCTGACGCTTTTGACGCCGAAGTTAAGTCCGGTGTGAACGCCCCTTTACAATTAATGGTGGGGTCTAGCATTAATATTTACAGTCTATGGGCTAAGCATCTTGTGTTCGAAATGATGCTTCATGAACTATTTTAGGCTTTCAGTCAATTGTGTTGATACAACAAACTTATTGGATTCAAAGCAGTTCTACAAAAAAGTGTTTAATTGAGGGAAAAAAATTAGTTGGCTTAATTTAACACGACAAATACAAAACTGAGTCAAGTGGGATTTGAACCAGATGTTTTCAACATCATAGTCTAGCATCTACAGACTACTACACAAATCTACTAATTATCTAAGTAATTAGTGTTTCAACGTATTATTAACTTGAAAAAAAGTAAAACATTGGAAATTAAGGCATCTGGATATGAAATTGAGGTTTTACTAAAGTGAAACATTTTTAATAATATTTCATGTGAAGTAGATTTGCTATACTTAAGTACAGGACTGCTCCACAACATGTACGCACACACAAAAAGACGGGTATTCACAAAAAAGGTATTCTAGCACTCACTTATCTACCCACTAAGCAAGCCGACGTTGAATCAACGTAATTTGAACGTCGTTGTCCGACGTAGAATATAGGTCACTGGTGGGTGCAGAATGAAAGTTTTCTCGACGTCGTTTCCCGACGTCACCTCAACCTCCAAATGTTACGTTGATGGCACGTCAATTCAAGGTTTGAATGTGGTACGGAACCGGTCGGGTCTGACGTCCTATCAACGTCTTATATGACCAAAATATTGACGTTTATATGACGTTCGTTTTCAGTTGTTCCCACTAAGCAAGCAGATGTCAAAACAACGTAATTTCAACGTCATCTGGACGTTCATTCAAGGTTGCAATGTGGTACAGAACCGGTCGGGTCCGACGTCCTATCAACGTCTTATATGACCAAAATATTGCCTTCATATGACGTTTGTTTTCCGTTGTTCCAACTAAGCAAGCAGATGTCAAAACTATGTCATTTCAACGTCATCTGGACGTTATCTGGACGTTCATTCAAGGTTGCAATGTGGTACAGAAACGGTCGGGTCCGACGTCCTCTCGACGTCTTATATGACCAAAATATTGACGTTTATATGACGTCCATTTACAGTCCTATTGACCTACTTAACCTCTGCAGAATCACTCACTGGTCGAGACATACTTTTTGCAATAGGCAAGGCAAGTTTATTTGTATAGCACAGTCAAAACAAAAGGAAACTCAAAGCACTGAACAAAAGATAGAAACAATCAAACAAGGCATTACAATTATAAATATTGACAGTAAATCAAAAAGATACAAATAAAATCTCATAAAATCTCTCAGTTGAAGCAGAAACAGAAGTGTTTTAAACCTGGATTTTAACATTGTCAAAGAAGAAGCCTGTCTCACATTTCCAGGAAGACCGTTCCAGATTTTAGCCTTGTGAATCTGAAATGCAGCTATATCATGTTTAGTTCTGACTCTGGGCAATAAACGATAAACACAGCATTCAAAAATCATTAGAACAACTGTAGTAGAAGGATATCAGTCATTATTGCAAATGGAGCTGCATTAAAAATCATGTTTCTCTACATCAAAAGTACAAGTTAAAGCACACAGGGCACCGTGTTATGAACACTACTGTACTGAACAGTTCACGCCAAAGTAAAAAAACATGATTGCAGCGCCTATGTTTGGATCAGTATTAAAACAGGCACAAGCTACACTCTAGGTTCCCCAGATGTAAAAACACAATCTGAAAGGCAGAAGAATGCATTTATTGAATGTTGATGTTCCAACATGTGTCTTCTCTTGGTCTTCAGTCTCTCATCACAAGGTCCAAGCACAGCACCTGAAAATGTGGAACATGTTTAGTTTCAACATAATGTGGCAAAGTGATATAACAACACATAACTTTCTATTAATGCCTCAAACCACTCGATCCATCACCATGTGACACAAACCTTGGCACTGCACTAGCTCGAGACACTGGAAGACACTCAGTCTGAGAAACTTGGGATAAGGCTTTGGTCATTGGAGTAATTCCATGTAAAAACTATTGCAAATGTGCATTTGTTTTGCACATGGACAAATGAGCCCTGAAAGCTACTTACCATGTATTACTCTACACATGTTGCATTTCCGAGGGGGCATTTTCCCCTTGTTGCTCTTTTCCCTCATCTTGAGTGAGTTGCTGAACAATCTGAGAAAAAGATAGATGTTTTCAAAGAGAATACACCAAATAATGGTTTATTCTCAAAACAACATAATACAGAAGAACAATCAATGTGTGAGAGTGTGATTCTTACCTTTGAACACCTACAACACAGTCTGACACATGTAAGACTCAAACACACATGACACATTAGTTATTGCAACAATCATGAAATTATACTCTATGGATTTCACAATAATTGACTGCATTAGCAAAGGTAAATGTATTTTAATTAACATATGGCTGGTTTTAAAGTTTATAAGAAAAAGTAAGAAATTGAATAGAGTTGCAAGCGCTAGTTAGCTTGCTACCAGCAGATGAATGGATATTTAATATTTGCAGCTAACAATAACACAAATAACCACTGCAGTGGCTCATTTAAACAGCCACAGTGAGAAGAAGTGAAAGTCTCTGACATTGAAGATTTAATGGGAAGACATTAAATCCATTTATTAAACAAAGCAATACATGAACATTATACTCTCTTTCTGCAGCAGGTAACATCTGTGTGCTCCTATGGTCCCACATGGTCCCACACCTGAACGCAACTCCAACTGATGACATCACAGGTGTCTAAATGATGGGAGTGTCCCAAATATTAAAGCTGATCTCCCTGTTTTTAAACTTAGTTTACTTAGGCCCTGTCCACACGAAGTCAAGCTCAGGCCTAAACGCAAAAATACTTTATCAATCCAGTGTATCGTCCATACGAGGCCGGCGTTTTGGGGGGGTGTAAACGAACATTTTTGAAACTAGGTCCCAGAGTGGAAAGATTTCAAAACTCCGTATATGCCGCTCCGTGGTTACTGCCTCTCCGCAATGTATCTGAGACGCTTGCGTCATCGCCCCGCCTCTTGTTAAAGCACGCATGCGCCGCACTCAGAAAATAATGACAACAACAATGTAGCTTGTTGGTTTTGTAATCCAGTGTGACCCGAAGCAACAGTTCAACCTCATCGTCCGTCCATACTAATGTAGTACCAGCTCGCCCACTTGCCATGTTGTCTGTTTACAAAATTCCGCGCATGCCCACGGAAGTTTGGGCTTGATCCCGTCATTGCGTCACAGCGCCACCAACAGGTCTGGCATAGTTTCACAGCGTTTTCAGGCGTATTGACTACATTCATATGGACGCACACATTTACTGAGCTAACTCCGTGTTTACAGAAAAAGTTTCTGAAATTATAAGCGTTTTGTCTTTGTGTGGATATAGCC